TACATGCACACAGCCTCCGCTGTGTTTTATAAATATCAGTTTGAAATAAAATGTTCAAAAGCTCCAGTGATTTAAGAGCCTACATTCTGTTTGAAAAACTAAAGTAAGCATTTACTGACAAAAAAGTAATGAAAATTCACTGGGATGTAGGAGGTTTTGAAAACATTGTATTTTAGTAGTGGTTCATAGGAAACCTAGAAGGAAGTGGCCTGATCCAAAGAATAAATATGCACACGGATAAATAAACATAATGCTTGAAATCCTTTTTTCAAAGGGAAACCTCTGAAACATACTTATAAACTGTCATACCTTCAAAGGCATGTTATATAATATTTTATTATAATGAAAAATGATTGTAAACATCTCCCTCATTTTACATCTATTACAGAAAGGTGTTCTCACAGTTCTCCTCATATTCAATTTGTTAATTCTCATAAATTCAATGTATGGAGTATCTTCACATTATAACATATCAGATCTCGCATTCAGCTGCAAGAATATAAGCAAAGAGCTTACTTCCCCAATTCCAACCGGGAAAATTAGCCCTCGCATGATGCAAAACATACTGTTTCACTTCAGAGTCCAGTCCTGAAATAGAACTGGGTTTTCCTACCTGTAAAAGTATTCAAAAAAAAAAGTTACCACATAAACCTCTGTATTTCATCACTGTTTTCCCACCGGAATGTTCTGTTTAGAAAAAGATAAAAAGTTACAGCATTTACTACAATATAAAAAGCCAGCTCCAGAAGTTGTCTATACACAGATGGAAATGGAATATTGAGCCTATATATTAAGAATGGCAAAATAAAGTAACGAAATTCTAGCAATTTTTGAGGAACTGTGACTGCTAATAAACACACAAAATACATCAAGATCCAGAATATCGATTTTGATTTTAGTGTATCAGTAAAAGTCCAGCCAGCAAATATATAGAATGGAACCAATACATATTTTACAAGCTCGTGTCTTTGGAACACTTTTCTCCAGACATAAAATGTGTAATGTCTGTTATCTGCTAGTAAATACTTATGAACATAGGTAAATTTCCAGATCAGGAATAAAGAGATGATGGTGATTAAGCTGTACTGCACAGGGTGCTTTCGCAATGACAGAAGGAATTTCCTGATTTTAGTAGGGGTCAATAAATGAGGGAATGAAAAAAAAACAGTAAAGGACAGAAAATAAAACAGCTGAGGAAAGTGCAAACAGGCTTCATGGCTACTTCTGTCACCAACAACTATTCCACCATTGATGATAACAAAACCAAAGAAGACAGTTACTAATATGATGTACGGCCAAGTTAAAGCAGTAAGTGTAACTAAGTTCTTAGGTGATATGAGATATTTAATAAGAAACTGCAATATTCTGGTCAAATCGGAAAATGACCCTTTCTTGGAAGAAATCTTTTCATCTTTCTTCTTCTGTAATTCAGTCTTCCAGGCTTCATTTAGCTTTTCTGCCACAACATTTCCAGCACAAAAAACTGTCCACACAATATTTGTCTGACGAAACATGAAGCCACAAAATCCCAGGAGAGCTGATGTTTTATGGTTACCATAAAGGCACATTAAATAGGCAAAGAGAGTAAAAAATACTGAACCTGGATCCGTATAATAAAGGAATGTAAAAAAGTAAAGGGTGGGAAACATTGCAAGAATTAATGTAGACAAGATTCTCTGGAAGCCAGACACAGCCTAGAGAAGAAGCAGAAAAATAAGGTTAGCCAATGTCAGAGAAAACAAAATAACAAATTAGAAGAAAATTTGTATCATTCTTGAGATTCTGTTAACACAATATAATATCTCCTATGCTCTTTGGTTCCATTACTGCACAAATACTGTTTTGTTAACCTCCTGCTATGTTAACATAGTACTGGACTACACAATGTTAAAATCCAAGTGAAAGCACAGAACACTACTGCAGGTGAGTTAAAAACATGGCAACAAAAATACACCAACTTCTTTCATATGTCAGGTGTGCACATATTTGTGGCATTAAAATCACGGTGGGAGCATAATTGGTCCCATACCTAGGATGAAAGAGCTACACTAATGGGCAAAAGGAAATAAAATCAATGTTTTATGCCCCTGCAATCTCATCATCAGATTCTGCTTATCTGTGAGACAGCACCGTTCTATGCCTCTACTATCACCTCTTTTGAACCCAGTACATGAGTGGCCAGCTCCAAGTTTCTAATCTACAGTGAAGCTTTTATTGTTTATCCTCATTATAACTCATGAGTTAGAAAAGAAACTTTAAAAAAGATAGAAGACCATGCAGTTAAAAACTCCTCCTAATTATCCCACTCACAACATGATGCAACATAAATCACAACATTAAAAAATTTTGCATGATGTCTCTGAATGATGTAGCGTGGGGTGAAACAGCCACTTACCACCTTACAGAAAAGAGGAACAGATAAAATGTTGAGCTCAAAGAAGTGTCAAAAATACCACTGCATTTCCCAATGCTTAGCCTCCTGTCACAAACCCTTTTTCTACATTTATATTTCCACTTCCAAGTATAAAATTAAGTGTTCTGAAAATGGAAACAATTTATTGGATCTGATCCAATTCTGTAGAGTGGATGGGCTTAAACATGAAGAGGCTCCTGTAAGAAAACACATCAAAAGCAATTTTCTTTATAGAAAAAAGTGTTTTTAAGGTTAAAAGTCAAACACTAAATAACTTTACTAAAGTTAAAGATTTTTGAATAGACTGTTAATCACTGAAACAATTTACCTACTGCAGTGGTGTATTCTCCAGAACCTTAAATATACAGCATTTTTGTATCCAAGTTGAACTGTTATGGTCTGGATGTGTGGACAGTTAGACAGGTAATAACTATCCCAGTGTACCCACAGAATCTATACTGGGACCTGTCCTGTTTAATGTCTATGACTAGAAGGCAGCAAATGTACACTGTCATCAAGTCTGTAGTTGACACTGTTGGGTCCCACTTGGGTGGGACCAAGCAATTTGCTAAAGAGCAGAGGTGCCACGCAGATTGACCTAGACAGGCTGGAGGAATGGGGCAACAAAAATATTACAAAATTCAACAAGGACGAATCCAAACGCCTGCAGCTGAAAAGGAAGAAATCCCCACAATGAGGGGCTGCTGCTCTGAGGAAAGGGACCTGAGGGTCTTCACAGATAGCAAGGTGAACATGAGGTGGCAGCATGCCCTGGCACTAAGGAAGAGCAACAGTCTCCTGGACTTCATTAACAAGAGTAGATCAAGAGGAGTTATTATCCCTCTTTACTTGTTAGGCTGCACCCAGAATACCACGTCCAATTTTGTGCCCTGATAAAAAAAGCCCTAGTAAACTGCAATGGCAGAGAGCCACCAAGACAGCTCGGGGCTGAAAACCTGCCCTGAGGGGAGAGGCTGAGGGAGCTGGCCTTGTTCAGTCTGGAAAACAGATGGCCTGGGGGGACCAAACAGCAGCCTACCAATACACCTAGGATGTCATCAAGTAAAGAGAGCCAGGCTCTCAAAGTGGTACACAGTGAGAGGACAAGAGGCAACAGGAATAAACTGAAATGAGAGGTTCAGACTGGAATTACGGACAATCTTTTTCGCTGTGAGGCCAGTCAGTCATGAAGCAGATTGCCCAGAGAGGTTGTGCACTCATCCATGGAGAGTTTTCCAGGCTCCAGTTCTGAGCAACCTATCTGATCTCAAGACTGGCCTTCGCTGGGATAGAGGGTGGCCTTCCTAAGGTCCATTCCATCCTCAATCATTCTCCAGTTTTTTGCAACTTGAATTATTCTCCATTTCTAAATACTGACATCAAGCCTGGTATCGTTCTAAAGAACTGATCTTAGTTCAAACACAGCCCACAGGGCTGCAGGATTCTGCAGTTGAAGGTTTATGAAGAGTCTTAAGCAGTTCCAACTAGATGAGCATTCAGACATTTGGATATTAAGTCTGTATCCATACTAACTAACTTTTCTCTCAACAGGACTCCTTATAGTTATGTGCAAGAGTAAATTTTTAGAGGATTGCACCTTGAGTGAGAAAAATAGAAATTAAAAAAAAATTTAGAGAAAAGGAATTGGCTTCCTTGGCCAAACTGGTGGCAGCACTTACAGTCATATAAAACTGAGGACAGCTCACGTATATAGTATGTAGTGAAGGGGACATATACTAAGCCATCAAAGTTGCTTGTACAACTGCATAAAACTATTTTACTTTGACCATACCTTATTCTTCTGATGGATCTTGAACAGAAGCAAATACAGTAAATAGAAGTTCCCAGCGCTGAAGAGGAGGTTGATAAACCTGAGCATTCCCACAGAGCACACCACGCTCCCGGTCCATCCGAGGAGCCACGCCGCGGGCTTCACTACTCCCACCGAGATCAGGTACAGGCCGGGCAGCGTGGTGATCATGGGGTCCCACTGCACGGCCGAGAGTGAGTGAGACAAACAGACACAGAGAGACAGAGACAGAGAGACAGAGAGGGTTACGGAGCAGCTCCCACAAAAGGGGCCAGAGACGCGCGATGGTTCGGGCACACCACTCGCGCCACGGCCCGCTCCGTCAGCCCGGCTGTTCAGCGGACTTCTGGCATTATTACACTGAAGGTTTTGAACGCTGTGTGCCCCGGCGCTGCTGCCCCACCAAGGGACAAAACGAGCGTTCGGGCAACAAGGACGGCAGGCGAGTCCCTGCGTTCAGACATCCCCGACTCCGAGCGACAGCTACGCTGCTGCGGCAGGGATGCTGTGAGGATCCTGACCTGCAGGAAGCGGCCGTGGCAATAGGCCTGCGCCTGCGGGACGTGGAACACCTCGTCCATGTAGGGCCCGCGCTGGCGGCGGCTGATGGCCGCGAAGAGCAGGCAGGACAGCAGGAAGGCGCCGCTCATGGCCCCGGAGAAGCCATAGGCCTCGGAGCGCTCCATGCCGCCGCCGCGCCGGCCGGGAAAGGCCGCCCTTCCGGGGAGGGACGGCGGGAGGAGCCGGCGCGTCCCGTCCGCGGCAGCTGCCGGGCGGGAAGGGGCGCGGGGGGTGCGGCCGCCTCTGGCCCGCACGCGTGGGGGTTCTCTGTGGGAAGAGCTGAAACCCCCCGGTCGGAATGCCTGGGTGTTGGTAGAGCCGTGTTTTCGGCGGGACAAGCGGGCGCCTCTCCGTGTCCCCAGGATGGAGCGGACGCACCAGCTGGAGCTGTTCCCTAACTACAACGTCACGCTGCTTCTCTTCCGACACGTGAAAAATGCCGCTGCTCTACGGAGAAAAGCCATGGAAGGATCCCTCGAAGGAGCGCTGATAAACCCTGCGATGGTGAGTGAGCCTTTGTGCCGTCCTGTTTGCGTGGAAATCCTCGGGGGAGCTCAGGGAAAAATGACCTGTGCTTGTAGTCGCTGTCACACGACTTTATTTGCGTTACATTTCCTCCGCGCTCTGCTCAAACACCCTTCTTTGATTTCATTATTGTGTCCTACAGCGTAAGGGTTCGTCTGTGTAAAACAAAGAGCCATGGCAGGATTGGCCAAAACAATTAATTGCACATCCTACTAAATCAATGGCCTTGATTAATTTCACATCCTACTTGGTGGAGCTATTTAAATCTACTTCATGTGTAAAATGTAATGCTACTTGCTTCATGCTGTCAAATATGTACTATTTGGACCCTTTTTTCCTCATTTAAACCCATAACTAGTTTCAGAATCTAGTCTTTTTTTTTGTTAGAATTAGTAAAGCAGTAGTTAGGGAAGGGGGGGAAAGTAATTGGCAATTTATTGACAAAAGATTCATTAACATGGTTCTTTTTTCAGAAGATTTCAGTAACCTGATTGAGAGAGGGTAATCTTTATTTTTATGACAAGTATTACCTCATGCAGGAAAGAAACACATTGACTTCAGAAGAGCAAGAATTACTAAAATAACAAGGAGGATACTGTTTTGTTCACTTCTATGACTGCAGACTTAGGCAATCAAAATTAAGTGGTCAGGAGTTTTTTCAGATTTTCATAAACAGTATGTTAAATTTATGTGTAATGGTTTCTGTCGTATTTTACAGATTGTAGATCCTTTTCAAATTCTCGTGGCAGCCAACAAAGCAGTACATCTACAAGAGATAGATAAAATGAAGACCAGAACTCTCTATGCAGAAATTATTTTCAACCTTTCACCAAACAACAATGTAAGATTTACTGAATACATTTCTTTTTTTTGCGAGAGCTTACTAAGATCCACACAGCCAAACTAAAATTCAGAGTTTACCTGCCTAGTAATAGAAGTTACTATTATTTTTAATAACACTAATACGCTGTTATTGTTTGTAGCTTGTCAGAATTGCATTAATGTAAAACATTTGTCAAGTTATACTCTTGGTGTGTTTGATCCAGTAACTAAAAAGATTGCTTATATGTAGCAAGAAAGTGACTCATAATATTTTTCTGTTTTTTATCTTTTCTCAGATTTCAGATGCATTTAAAAAGTTTGGCATTTCAGACAGTGACACAGCAGTACTCATTGTTCTGCTGGATAGCTACAAAACTGTAAATCTGGAAGATATAGCATCACAAGTGGAAGGCCAACAGGTTTCTCTAGATGAACTCCCTCAGCTAACAGACACTGCCAGAGTTAAAAAGGTATGTAGCCAAAAGAGAAGAGAAAAGGGATAGTTTATTTAATAGTCTGATTAAATATCAATGGACATAATTAACTTTCTTTAATGTATATTTAAAGAAATACATAATGTATTTCTTTAACTTAGGATCTGTATTTCTTTAGTTTCCAGTGAACCTTGATTAGTTATTTCTTAAATTTTTTTAGTTGAAACAAATTCTAGTTGTCACACTTCAACACCACAAAGTTTAAGTCTTCAAATTATTATCGTTGTCGTAAAAATCAATTCCAGATTGCTGCCTACCATTCAGGCACTTTTGCTTCCTGTTTTCTCAGTCAAATATCTGTTTAATTAGAATTTCAGTCCTGAACAGTTTCATAATCTTAGGCACATAAATAGCCCCAGTATGGGTGGCTAAAATAAAAACGTGCTGATTAGCCCTTAGGAGCTGTCTTAGGGCATATGTGCTCTTAACAGATTAGACAGGTATCTTGGAGCATGTGTGTTCTACATGATAAAATTCAAGTAACTTAAATCATCTTGATCGCGTCCATCAAAGTAATGATAGGAGACACGTGAATAAAATTGGACAAATCATAGCATTTAACATGTGGAGCCAAAAGTGCTGCTCTCATTCAGTTTCTTGATTTCCTTAGTCTTGCACTTTCAGAATTTGCTTGGTTCCTCAGTCCCGATTTTGTCTTGCAGTCACAAGAAGATAGGAATTTCCAATGTAAGAATGGCGGAGAGGGGAAAATTTTTTCATGTATGTATATATTTTTAGAAGCTATGTGATAATTTTTTCCTTCCTTATACAGCTTTTCTGTTTTTCTTGTTCTTTTTTTTTCTGCAGATATACAAAGTTACTCCACAAGAAGAAAAAATCAGCACCTTATTGGATAGTGTTGTTTGCAGAATGTCAACGAAAGATGTCTTATGAAAATGTGGAAATACATTTTTTTAAAAGGAAAAAGGACTTTTTAAGGTGTAGAAACACTTCATTGCAGTTCATCTTACATTTCAGAGAAAGTGGAATAGTACTGAGTAGTTTGATGACATCTGATCTTTAACCAAGCTTGGATACCAACCTTAGTAATCTTATCTGTGTTCTAAGCACAGAGAGCAATTCTGCCACGCAAAGCAGAATTTGCCGTTGGTATTTCTGTCCTTTTTCTTGACAAGGGAAAATTGCCACTGCTCTAAGCTGAACATAAACAGAAGGACTGGAAATCTCTACTTACTTTTCTCTTTTATCAACAATGTTTTGCCAGTCCCAGACGGGATTCAAACATTCTAAATAATTTTTATTAACCCTCCCCGATTTGTTTTTTTGGTACACCTGATGGATGATACTCTTTTAAGGATACTACTGCCAGAAAAGGTGTCTTTATGGACCAAGTGTTGCTGATGGACTAGAAAAAGGAAAGTTTCCATAAACTATCTGCAGCATCTCCCTCCTTGTGCTAATGGTATAGAGCACTTCAGTGTTGGTGTTAAAGGATAATGAGTGGTGCTTTTACATTATAGCACTGGATTATGCACGGTGATGCTGACTTCGTAGGGCCTAGTTCCAGGTGCAGAATTCACAGACAAATTTGCACCATACATTTATTCACTTAAAATTGTCAATACAACTTACACGGCATTTTGAAAAGATCATAGAACTTGTTTTGGTTTTTTTTGAACTGGTGTTAGGAAAGGCCATCAAAGGGAAGTAGGAAGACTACTGATTTTCCAGTAGTCACTAGGTGCAAGAGCCCTGCATGAGTATCATTTAATCACACACAGGCATCCTGTTTAAGTAAAACTACTGTCCTAGTTAGGTGGAAATGCATAGTTTGTTATTGTTATACTGTATTGTTTTTCTGGGATGTGCTAAAACTGTGTAGTTGTCTGCATTTTTTTTTCCTAACGTTCTCTGAATTATTATGATTTGTGTACTTACAAGATACTTGGAAGAGTATGCCCCACATTCTTACATGTAGTGTTTGGAAAAACAATATATTTTGTCAGATAAGTCTGAGTTAGAGTTGAAATGTTGTCCAATACAGTAAACAGACCAGTGAACTGACATATAGACCTACTTTTGTCTGTGTTTCTGTATTAATTATGGAAATCCCTGGCTTGTGTTTTGCATTTTGATTTTGGTTAAGTCTTCCCTCAGTTTAAACCCAAGAGTACAAATACCATCTTTTTCTTACCAACCAGACCAATGGCAAATTTAGTTCCCAAGTACCAAAGGAATTCAAAGATTTATCAAAAGAAAGGATTTGGGAGAAATTGCTGACTTCTTGCTTTAAAGATGGTTTTACAGAATGCATCATTCTCTCTAAAGGGAAATGTGAGGCAGTAGTAAAAAATGGAGCTTGGAAGGGCTTGCGTCTTTTAAAAAAAGATGTGTGTAACATCAGGATGTGAGAATGACCATGGAAAATAAAAGACTTGTTTTCCTTTTCTGACAGTCCAGTTGGTACATGGAACATATCATAAGATTTATTGGCTGAACTACAATGGTTTTGGTAGCTTAAAATAACAGCAGACAGCTTTGCTTAAACCACAGCCTTTTTTGAACATGTGTAAAACATCTGTCCAGTGTCTTTAATATAGGAGAAATAGTAATAAAATGATGACTGCATAAAACTTTTGACACACAAGTTGTGAAGTTGGGGTTACAGTTTCTACTTCTCGTTAGTCTGTTTCACTGGTGCAGAAACATTAAATAGTTTGTTACTGTTGACATAAGGTAATTTGGAAAATTTTGATTTACTGTGAGACCCAAATGAGGTATTTTCATGGGTGGATTTACAGGAAATTATTTTGGGAACTGAAGCTACCAAAGCAGAACTCAGGCAGATGATTTGGGTCTGTTAGCAATGAAGACTATGCCCTGCAAGACCACAGGTTACCCTTAGTCCTAGTTGCATTATTCAGGTTAACCAGTTATTTACAAAAACTGGTAATAAACGTAGATTTTGTTGACCCTGCAAAGTTACTTTTGTATTTCTGAACACACTAAAAATTAGTAAATTTGAATCTCTAATGTTACTGTGAAATCAGCCAAAGCAGTTTTCCAGCAAAGCAAAAGTTTAAGAAAAAAAGATAGGTTTTTCAAAACATTTAATGTTCTGCTGCTGTCTCCTCTGAACTTTCATACCTGATCGCTATCACAAGGTGAAAGAGGAAGCTGAAGTATTTTCAATACTTCATCTAGTTCTCCAGGGCTTCAAAGATAGGATTATATCTGCAGGACAAATCCAAAATTATGATGTGTGGTCAGTTGTTCTAGCTTTTTTTTTCCTAGGTGGGGTGGTTTTTGGAATTTGGGGTTTTTTTTGCCTCTGCTGCCTTTTCAGTATTGCATATATGACAAAAGCTGAGGAAAACCAGCAGTCTGTACTTCTAAATTCAATGCCTAAAACCTTGTCCACCGCAAAATTCACTTTCCTGCTTGAAGGCTTTGCAATACATGAGTTTCTTGTGAGAGAGAGGATGAAGGGGAAGAGGAGACAAGGCAAACAAGAAACAGATGTTACAACACCATCCTTTACAATGACTTTGGAACACGTGGTAAAGCCAGCAGACTGTTGCTGTTTGAGTTAAAAGCTTTCAGCCCAAGTATATCTGACAGATGTCCAATTGCTGGCCTGTCCATCACAGAGCAGGTATACCCCTGGGCATAAGGCAGGAATGTGGTTCTATACTCAAGGAAGACCTTCCTACCTGTCATGATGGAGATGGTTATCCTCCCTTTGAGGATGGTATCCAGTAGCACATCCAAGTAGAGCAACATTGGTAGCATTGGCAGAGTGCAGCGTCAATGGAGGATCACCAATTTCAGCGCCTACACCCACCTGCTGAGAGCTGGCATGGGTGTCTCTGGTGCTACACTGTGCTTTGTACACGCTCCTGGAGCTATGCCGTGGAGGTCTTCTCAGAGGCATTTCAGTTTATGTACCCCTGCTGACTATGGGTGGATATCAAAATGGGGTACATGGTACTTGTGTTCTCTACAGGTACTACAGGTACTACATAATTACAGATGTGTATCTGTGTGAGTATTCAAAATGTCTTACAGGATTTTTTTGGGGAGGCATACTGTTTGTTTATTAGTTAGGTAGTGCTAAAATTTGGGGTTTAAGCTGAGTTTAACTCCCAAGGCTTGAACTATTGTCCCCAGCACTCACTGCCCCTCAGAACTGCATGTCCATTAACTTGTGCTCATCTGCTGTAGACAACCATACACCTAACAAAGAGTTTAACAGAGACTGCTAACTGGCTGTACTTCCAGAAAGCTTGCAGGTTGTCTGAGTGGGGTTACTTCCTCTTCCCTGAAAAAGTGGGAGTATGGAATACCTCCCATCAAGAATAGGCTGGTGTATGTAGAGGCTTGTGCTGCCATGAGACATTAATGAATTATGGAAAAGGAAGCAATGGTTGAAGATAAATTAAATATATACAAGAGTGAAGACTGAGCCAGCTGGTTCTGTGACAAAGGATGCTTACAAATACATCTTATTTCATGGTTTTATTCCTGAGTTTACAAAGTCATTACCATAAATTAAAAATATGTGGATGCAAGTCCTGTATGGATGCAAGTCTCTTCAGCGACGCAGATGAATTTCACATGTTCAGAGACCCTTCTCTGCCTGCAGGACAGCTGGTTTTATTGATTTTTTTTTCTTATATTGTCATGACATGGCAGATTATTTTCCTGCTTGTGGTGTATGTTTTACCATGGATTGGGACAGGCAATCTTGGCAGAGGTAGAGACTCCACAGTTTAAGCTCGAAAATGGAAAGCTGGGGTGGACATACAAAATGTTGACCAATAAAACAGAAGCTGAACTCTTCTTTCTAGAATATTGTGCTTCAAAGTTTCATATACGTGCTGAGGGTAATATACACATGTAGAGGTCAAACAGGTATCTGTCATTCACAAATCATGGTCTGTTAAATTCACTTCCACAAGTAGCAACCATTTAAGCAGTTTCAAGTAAATTGAAATACGCGGAGACCATTATTTGTACTTCTTGGGTATGAGTAATCAACACAAGTACTTATTTAAATACTTGACAAAGAAAGCTGCTAAATTGCTTCTATAAGGATGAATTCTTTCGTGACCAGGCTCCCCAAAGTGCCATTAGAAGGATCACAATGATCACTGTGTAAAGGGTATGGACTGTAACAAGATCATCTCCTTGCTGGTGCTTGAACCCAGAGGTGCTGTGCCAGTTCTCACTTTTGTTCCCGTTGGTTTTCTGCCTGTGAGCACGGAGAGAATGTATCCTGATATAAAAGAAAGCAAGATTGAGATTAAAAATTATTCTTTTTTATTAACAGTTCAACAGTGTTTGTAATGAAATCCAGAGTGTGCATTGTATTGTTGACTAGATTTGGGAAAGAGCTCTTCAAATTGTATGAGGCTAATAAAATAATTTCCATAATTGGAAATGCAAAACATTTACCAGCCATTTGGTATTTCTCTCCCACTGACAGGCAGAGACTGGGTAGGGGCTTGTTAGAGGACACAGTGCTCTTACTCTTCACTGTTGATACAGATCATTGTATGAGAAAAAACATACCCTTTCATTTTGCAATATTATGAAAGTGGCAGATTCAAATAAAAAATTACCAGTTTCCAAAGCTTTCATCCATGGCAATACATAACAGCATGTGTTATGTAAGCTTCCCATCCTGCTCTGATGTGTTTTTCTATCTCTGCTTTTCAGAGGGGACTTCTCTCTGCCGTCTGTGTCAAGGTATTCATTAGCCAAAGATACCAATCAGGAGTAACTACACAAAGCATATCCACAGGATTCTCTGGAGTAACATTTGACATTGCTTTGCCACCTTTCCCAAATGGTTTGAAGCTGGAAGTGTTAGCCTGTGGCAACAGACCTCCAGTTATTGTTATTTCCACTGAAAATTGCCTGTTAAGCCCCAGTGCTAAGTCCTTGTTCCTGCTGCCTTTCTTTCTTCTTTTTTTTTTTTTTTTGTAAGAGAAAAAAAGGCTTAATATTCACAATTCCATCTGAACTGGAATGCTAAAAGGAGATGAATTAATTTGTGATCCTATAGCTTAGGGAGGGGTCTGAGAAGTATTAGATGTATTACAGCTCTGGTTCATACATGTTCCTGCTGTTATTACTGCAGAAGAGTAGGGGTTACCACAAATGTTAGTGCAGATACAGTCTATGAATAAAAAAGAACTTTAAACCAGAAATTACATACTTATGC